CCCACAAGTCCAACTGGAGGTCTAGAGCCCATGGCAAGGACTCATGCAAGTCTGTTTTATGGATCTGCACAGGGAAGGCCCAAAGGTCAGTGGTGGAAGCTAGAAAGTCTGTGCCAATGTGGTGAAGGGTCTGTGCTAGTATTTTGTGGGTTCTACACTAGAGCCAAGAAGTGATGCTCGAAATAAGGACCAGGGCTGCCCTGAAAAGTACCATGGCCATCCTCAGCGACATGGAGATCCTGAGCTCCTCCAACAGTGAGAACAGTCAAGTACCTCCCAGGAAGCTAGTGTGACAAGCTTCTCCTGGAGATTTAACAGCAACGTCTTCCCCTCTGGAGCCAGGAAGTGCTGCTCAAAGAAAGAACTGAGTGAACCACAGCCATTCTCAGCAACAGGGTCCCGAGCTCCTCCAGTGATAACAGCTTGGTTCCTATCAGGGGAGCCAGCCTGACGAGCTCCTCCAGGAGAACCCACAGCTCCAAACAACAGCAACACTTTGGAGAACCCACAACACCCCGCTCTTCCTCTCCACATCTTTTTTATGCTGGCCCTCAGGTGGGCCATCTACACTCAGCACCACACTGATTCACTTTGGCTGGTGTTAAGCTGACCACCAGTTTTTAATCCATAACACCCCAGCAGACTGAAGCATCAATGCTCTGGTGGCTTCCTGCTGCACGCCACACCTTCTGTGTCAGTGTTCATTACAGACCTGCGGAGCCAGGTGTGGTGTTGCACGTCTGTAATCCTAGGTGACTGAGGAGACTGAGGCAGGATGATCACAAGTTTGAAATCCTGTCTCAGAATAAAAATAACAAGGCTGTGGGTGTGGCTCAGTGCAAGACATGAGTTTAATCCCTAGTAGCAAAATCAATAAAGAATAGTTTTCAAAACTCCGAGCAACTTAGTGGTAAGGCCTTTGCCTAGCAGGTGCAAAGCCCCGTGTTCATTCCCAAGCACCACAGACTCAAAAAAGCATCCTTGTTGAGTGGGTGATTTCCACAAAGCTGTTCCTTCTCCAGTGCCTGTCCCTGCGTGTTGCTGACCCACTCAGCTGGCACTGCTTGGGTGCTGCTTTGTTCTGGTGGCTTCTGATGGGTGAAGTGCATCCCAGGTATCTAGGAACTCAAGCTGCGGAGTCAGGAGAACTTGGGTTCCAATCCTGTTTAATCATCCTGCATTTGATCACCTCCTTTTTCTGAGCCTTAAGTTTCCTCACTTATCCAACAGTGAGAATAATGCCCCGCTCAAAGACCGCACAGAAAAGTGGGATCTGATGGTGTGTAAGTGTTTAATACAGTTCCTAGAATTTAGGATGTACGAACTAAGCTGATGTCACCGTTGTGATTGCTAAGAAGACAGTCATCCCCGTGTCATTGTGGCACTAGTAATAATTGCACCAGAGTTCCCAGCCCCCATCCACAGCAGCATAGTCTCAAGTTAGCTGGGATCACAGGGAATAGATGTTAATTAATGATTTGGTTGACTCTGAGGAATAGTGCAGTGCCTCAGATTGCTTGTCTTTGAACAATGAAGCTGTGGGGAATTGCGGGCAGCTGGATCCTCGCATACCCATGTGTGCGTCAGGATGTGCAAGTGTGAGGGGAGGGAATCAGTGCTGTTTGCCCTGAGAGGGCCTGAGCTTCGGGGGTGCACCCAGCCTGTGCGGGCCAAGGGCTGCATCGGAGACAGAGCCTTCTCTGCGCTCTGCGGTGTGGAGGAGGAGTTAGGAGGCAGGGAGGGCCCGCCGCAGCTTCAGGAGGAGAAAAGTTCCCTGTCCCAGGGAGTGTGGCCGTGATGGGCAAGGTCAGGTCCTCTTGTCGAGGGAGCTCTGCTGGAGCCGCTTGGGAACAGAGGGAAAGAGGCCGGAAATCAACACAGGGGTGGAAAGAAGGAGACTGAGTCCCAAAGAGGGTAGGAGTAAAATCGGGTGGAATATTTGGGGCTGAGTTGTCTTCTGAGTTCTTCCTGGGCATCTTGATCTTTGTGTAAAAGCAGTTGTCTTTCCAGATCTCAAAACAGCTTTTTTGTTTGTTCCTTTTAAACACTGAGTGAAACAATGCACGTGAAAGCGCTGTTGCCATCTGGTTCTGTGTGTCCCCAAGCAGTCCGCGTGCTCCTCTCTTCAGAGTGCTTTGGGCTGCTCGAGACATTTTGCCCATTTCTTTGGCTTCTCAGTTTCCTAAAGCCCTGCCATTGTTATGGGTTGTTGTTTTTCTTAAGTTTATTTTACAGATGGGAACACGGAGTCCTAGAGGGTTGGCTGAGTTGCCAGGGGTCCGAGGGGCAGAAGGTGGTGAGGCAACGTCCTTTTCCGCAAACGGCAGGCTTCTGGGGATGATCCCGGGTGTGATGTTCTTATTTGGCACGAGGTGAAGTGTCCACGGGCTTTGTGGGTGAGACCGGGGGTGGAAGCCTTGGCCTTTTTGTCTCCTGTAAAGCAACTTGTGAGTATACGATGGAAACCTCCAGTAATCTGCCTTCCCCAGCTCCTCCAGCAGAATGTGGTACACCGCCGTCTTCCACGCATACAAGGGCTTGTGTGAGCAGGTGGACTCTCCTCTCCCCAGGGTGGAAAGGATTGTCCTAAAAGGATGTGTCGAGTAGATGGGGAAACATTCTGTCTTCACACAGACAGACAGCAGCAAGGTCTGTGGTCATAGGAAGCTAGGCAAGATTCCGTGACCTTTACCGTGGAATGTGAAAAGCATATTTGTGTATTCTCTAAAACCACCCTACAAAGTAGGCGTGTTAGTTCCTCTTTGCTATATGAGTCAGCTGAGGGCCAAAGAGCTTTAGAAACTTGCTGTGAAACACACGATAAGGCTTAAACACGGGACATGAACCAGATAGTTTTGCTCTGAAGCCCATACTCTCAGATATTACATTTAGCTCATTCAAGAACCTACCTTTCTGCCAGCATCTGTTTATCAATCATGCAGCCATCCAGTCATCTATCCATCCATCCTCTCACTTAGGACACGATTCAGCTGTTCATTCATCCATCTACCCACCCATTCATCCACCTCTCCATCCACCCACCCATTCATCCACCTCTCTATCCATCCATCTGTCGTGCATTCACCCATCTGCCATGTCTAACATGGTCCTCTGCCTCATCTCTGGGAGAAATTCTACCCCCGGCCCATGTGCTTCGTAGAGCTGGAGACCTCCTTGCCAGGACACATCCGTTAGCTCCCAAGAAATCTCTGGGCGTGCTGCTGACACTCCAGCGTGGCCTCCTCCGCATATTCACTTTGCTTCCTTTTTGCAACATGTCCCCTACAGCATTCTCAAGGTCAGCCAGGCGGTGAGCTCCTGCAGAAGCGCCCGGGGCTTCCCGAGTAGTACACAGACAGCTCCATCCTTAACCCGCGGGCCAGGAGTTGCATGACTTGGGCATGCTTTTATTTTTTAAAAACTGTTATAGAGTTTATGTGATACATCTAAAAATTATGCAATAAATCTAAAACAGATGTTCACAAAACATTTTGTAAAGGAAGAAATTGCAATAGACACAGGCCAGTTTAATGGAGATACATCAGTTACGAGAACAATTAAAAGTGTCTAGAAGAGGCAGCATTATGAGGGGAAGGAGGGCCTAGCGATTGCCGTAGTTATTAATTATGAAGTAATAAAAACTCCGTAATTATTTTGCATAGCCTTTGTTGTTGATAAACCGCTGGTGGGAAATCCCAGTTTATGAAAATTCAGATACATAAACAGAGTCATAATAATCCGCGTATCTATCACTCATCTTCAAAAACTAGCAACTTTCCCCCTCCTGCCTTTCCTAAGTGCTAAAGACGTCTCCTTCACCTGTTGCTTAACTTTCTTGCATCAGAATCGCACTCTGTAAGGATATATTCTGTGATTGCTGAACTGCACCACACGTTCCTTTCCTTTTTCATTGAAATTTAGTATTTTGGGGGTACAGCATGGGGAATGTTCCCGCATTTTTTTAATTTAAAAGAAGTCAAATCCACAGCAAAATAGAAATAATAATACATGAACTGAAAATGGCCCTCACTTAGACCCATCAGTTATTAGCATGAGCCCGGCTGGCATTTCCCTATGTGTGTTTGTTTATGGGGCCACAGTGGGCTTCTCTGACCTTTAATGACACATTGATAGGAGCACATGGCCGTAGAATCGGACAGCAGGTTCAGAGCCAGTCTCCAGCACTGTCTCCTGGCCACGCATCGTGGGTCAGTGGCCTCATGATCTCTTCAAGTGTGAACGGGAGTAATAAAGGGTGTACGACTGGGGTTGAGCGGGCACCCACTCAGCAACACTGCCCGCCCCTCTCCTTCTGGTTCTCCCTGGTGTGGCAGCCAGGGTTGCTGCATGGAGGAACTGGGCTTGGTTGATTCTGATCCTTTCTGGCCCCTTGGGAGAGCCTTGCAGTGGAGAGAGTTGCTGTGGTCTAGGGATGGGTGTGGGTGAGAGTGGTTCACACCCGAGCTCTGCCTGTATCACTTTCGAAGTATAGTTAAGCGACTTAACCTCTGTAAAATGAGCTAGGAAACATACTGAACTCTGAGGAGTTGTCAGGAGATGAGCTGGGAGAATCAGTGCCCAGCCTTTGGTCCAGTGGGTCTTTAACAGCCCAGGAAGCATTAATGATCACCAGTGTTATAAGAGGGGGCAGGTTAGCATTCTGCCACCCTGATCGGTGCTCTGTAATTATTGCTTATTAAAACCCTGCACCGAATTGGACTTGTAAAGTCCATCCTCTTTGTGACCACGGAAAGGAATAAAAATCTCTTGAGAAAGCCTGCTGTGTGATGCCAGGTGCCCAGCCAGGGATGGGGTTGGGAGTAAGCGTGGGACAAGCCTGTGAGGGTGACTCTGGTCCCCTCTGATGACAGCCTGACCTGAGGCCATGCCACGGGCAGTCCTGAGAGTGGGGCCGGTCCCGGGCCGGGGCTTGGTGGCGTCCTGCCGCCTGGGGCTGACTTTCCGCTGTCTTCTTTTCTGACTGTCGTCTCCTTCCCCAGGTTGAGAGGATTGTAGACAAGCGCAAGAACAGGAAGGGCAAATGGGAGTACCTCATCCGGTGGAAGGGCTATGGGAGCACGGAGGACACATGGGAGCCGGAGCACCACCTCCTGCACTGTGAGGAGTTCATCGATGAGTTCAACGGGCTGCACCTGGCCAAGGACAAGAGGGTCAAGTCCGGGAAGCAGGCGGGCACCTCCAAGCTCCTGCGGGACCCCCGCAGCCCCACGTCGGTGGAGAAGCTCTCCCACAGGCCCGCGGAGCCGGGAAAGAGCAAAGGGACTTCCCACAAGCGGAAGCGGATCAACCCGCCCCTGTCCAAGCCCAGGAAGGGCTGCTCAGGCAAACCCCCCGGGGCCGCGGACAGGGCCGCCAAGACCGTGTCCTACAGGACTACTCCCAGCGGCCTGCAGATCATGCCCCTGAAAAAGGGCCCCAGTGGCGTGGAGAACGGGGATGCCAGCTCCGAGAAGGACGAGAAGCACTTTGGAAACGGCTCCCATCAGCCTGACGTGGATTTGACCGACTCCATCGGGGAGCAGGACGCCAGCGGCGGGGAATGCGATGGGCCCCACTCGGCGCTGGTGGAGAACGGGCTCGGTCTGTTGGTTTTCCTTTCTCTCGGGTTTGGCTCTGGGGTGGTGGTGTGTGGGGCTTTTCCCTACGTCCAGGGACATTCACAAGCCCGTCCTGAACCCATCTTGACATCAGCTACTCAGCAATTCTCCCCTGCCCCTTACATAGTGTCATGTGCTATGTCAGTGACAGACACCTTTGCGTGTGCTGCTGAGCTGGGGCCAGTGTGGGTGGCCTCTTCCTGACTCTGCTTTAAGGTGCCTGTGACCATGGTTCCCTCTCTAGGTCCACATTGCCAAGGAGGGCTCAGAGTCCTTGAACCCCAAGAAAAGGGACTGCTGTCCCCCCAGGCCAGTGCCTTTACAGTGCCTACACAGGCTCCTGGCTTCCATCTCAGCATGCCCAGCAGGGTGGAGCCTGGAGGGGAGCCTGGGCCAGGGTGGGCCTTTCCTTCATAGACCCACTCTGGACGTGGCATTCACCAGAGCTGTCCGGAGCTGGAACTTCTCACCTTGGGTGTCGCTAGGATGTGTGATTGGGCTCATGTCTGCACTGGGTCCTGCCTTAGTGCATTCAGGGCACTGTAACAAAAGAGCTGAGACTGGGTAATTTACAAACAATAGAGGTTTGTTTCTCGAAGTTCCAGAGACTGGGAAGCCCAAGGTCAGGGGGCCAGCAGAGGATATGACCAGGACCCGTGCATCACAGACAGTGCTGGCCATCTTGCCTTACCAGTGGGAGGGACGAGGCACCTCATTCCAGCCTCCTTTGTTTGGGAGCTTGTTCCATTCAGGATTTAGTCACCTTCTAAAAGCCCACCTTTTGATGCTATTGCATTGGAGGCTCAGATTCAACGTGGGGATCTGGGGGATGCCGACACCCGGACCCTAGCCAGGGCGGCCTTCTGCTCTCATTCTTTGGTTTGCCGCCTGAATGTATTGTGTGGGACTGTGGGGTCCCCCTTGCCTGCTGAGCCTCTGCAGGCAATGTTAAGGCAAGGGAGGCAATGACCAGGCAGTTCAAGGCCCCAAACATGGCATTCCTTAACTGAGCACCTCGAGGCTGGTATCTTGCAGCCGAGCTCTCCGTGCCAGCTTCCTGTGTGCTGTCTTTCCAGGGACACCTGCATGTCTACCTGCTGCAGTTGCCTCTTGAGCTGTGAAAGGCCTACGCCTTGGGGTGCCAGGAAGTCCCACACAGCCATGGACAGTCTGTGGCCAGCAGAGCAGGGCCGTCGAATATCGTAGAGGAAACCAGTGTGTGTGAGATGGGGGTGCCGGGTGCAGGAGGTGCACAGCTGATGAATGGGATGGTGAGGCAAACACACACCACATAGATGGTGGTGATGGCAGGGTGTGGAATGTTTGGGGTGTGCTCCTCCAGGGGAGCTGGCTGTCCCCAAGGATTCTTGCCAGGGAACCTGAGCAGTGATATTGAAGTTCCTCCTTGTCCAGCGAGGGGAATTTCACCTGAACAGATTTATTTGGCAGTCTTGGCCCCAGACTGACTCATGTTTCCGTCTGGGGATCCCGGATGCTGGGGTGCCGGTGCCTGCTAGCATATGGCAGAGCCGTTTGTGTTAAACAGCCATCTCTCGGGGAGAAGTGGGCTTGTGTAAATGAGGCTTGGCATAAGCGTCCTGTTTGATGTTCCCATGGCAGCTGCTGGCACTCGCGGTGTTCCCTGTCTTGGAAAGGGTGGCGAGGGAACCCCCGAGGCTCCCCTGGTGCCGTGCAGGAGCCTGGGGGATCCCTGGCACCCGACAGTTGACTCCCCTGCCCTGCCCAGAACCTGGCTACCCCCAGAGTAAGGAGAAGGGGAGGGGTTTGCTGAGTGAGCTCCCAGACGTCAGCGGGGAAGAGAGAAGGCGGCTTCCCAGTCTGTGCCACATTCCAGAGTGGGCAGAGCCTCATAGATGCACCCTGATCCATGACCTGATGATAGGACTTCATACCCCACAGGCAGGGGATGCAGGGGAGGCCTGCTGGGGAGGCCTGAAGTAGTCTGGCCAGCTTCAAACTGCTGCGTCCTCTGCTCCATCATGCCCGAGGCTGGAAGGAAAGGAGGAGGCCACCTGCCTCTGCCGTGTTCCCTCTTAGCTACTCCAGGAGGATCTTTCTGCCCAGTTGCAGCCCACAGTAGTGGCGACCTCTGTGAGAGCCTCTCGTGGAGTAAGGCGGGGCTTCCCAGAGTTCCCCATTGCTGAGGCTGGGTGCAGCCCGGAAGCTGGGCTTTTCGTGGGCACTGCTGCAGAGATACGCTGCGTGGCAAATGGGCGTGGCCATGAAGTTTCACCTCCGTATCAGTTAAATTTGATCCAGTATTGCTATTTTGAGCACTTCCTCAGGATTAGTCACCGTGCTGGGTGTTGGAGTAGAGTAATAAAGGGCAGGTTGAACTTTGCCCTCTGAAACTCACAGTTCTGCTCTCTAGAGCACAGGAGTGCTTGCCTTTGGCTCCACGTTGAGAGATATAAGCGGGCCCCATGGCAGAAGTGCTGTGCGTGGTGTCGACGTGGTCCATCTCTGTCATCCCTGCATTTCTGTCTCCTGTCAGCTCCCTGGTAGTGACCAACATTCCACCCAGTGGCAGCCTTTAATACTCTAGTTAGAACTAGCTTGCTCTCTAGACTGGCGGAACTTAGGGAGCAGGAAGGACTGGTAATTCTTGCTGGAAAGGGAAGAGCCATGGCAAAGAGTAGTTTGGGGTTCTTGGACAAAACCCAGGACAGAGGAGGTATTGCCATACCGGGAACTTCCCACCAAGCAGGTGGAAGGTAGTGAAACAAAGCACAGCTCTGTTACGTTTTCCGACCAGAGGGAAGTGACGGTGAAGACAGCATCTGTGCTGAGTAGAGCCCTGAGTCCTCCCACCCCTCCCCGGGCACCCCATCCCTGACTTGGACCCCGGGGCTCACTTCCCGGCAGCCGAGCGTGGACTGGGGGCCGGGGCAGCAGACGAGGCTCGTCTTGCCTGGCGGAGGGGTGGGGCTCCCTCCGGCCGCTCTGTGCGGCATGTGCTGTGGGTGGGTCATTGATTTCCGTGTGGTTTACATTTCTTCTGGTGATGCAGCTTCTGCATGCGGAGCAGCGGCTTCCATACCGAGCGTGCCACTCGCTTGCTCTGCCTTCCCTCATCTGTGCCCTGAGAGCCGGTGCTGAAGCCGGGCTGCCCCGCGGTGCTGTGGCTTTTGACCGCGCTGTCCCCAGCAGCGTCTGTGAGCACGCCTTGGCTCGGTGTGCCCGCAGTTCTGATTCTCCTCCGGTAATGACAGATGCTCTGTGGTCCCCAGACCATCTGCCTCAGTGTCCCTTGGGGAACTTGTTAAAACGGGCTCCACCCCGATCAAACCAATGGAGATCCCAGGGATAGGTGAGCGTTCTACATGCGAATGTGGGATTTTGGCGGCCCCAGGTGCAGACGCAGCCCTGCAGAGCTGTGCCGTTGTAAGCGATGGCTCACAGGTGCGCTTGTTGGGAGATCCGGAGCTACCCTTTGGGGTGCAAGCTTGCACGTGGAATGGGAGTTGGCCTTCAAAACTTTAGAGCCCGACACAGTTCCTCCTCCTGTCTGACAGGACAAGGCAGAGAGGCTTTATCCTTTGGGAAGTGCTAGGAGATTAGGCAGCCCCCCTGTTCCGGCAGGAAGAACTGCTCTCAGCTTTCGTCCAAACGCATTGGAGCATCCATGCTGTTCAGCTTCATGTGTGCCCTGCACATGGGATCCCCCAACCAGGGCCCACTGTGTCTCTTCCAGCCCAGGGTGGCCCCTGCTCCCCGCATTCTCAGGGTCCTGAGGCCCATGAGCCCCACTGTGGGTGCTGAGCCTGTGGCTCTGGGCCCACTTTCGATTTCTGAGAACCTTTCCCATGTGTCATCAGGATCGTCATGTGTCCCCCGGCCTTACTACGCAGGCCACACATGCATGACTCAGTGTGTTCCGAGTTATTCCTACCCGTGGGCGAGTCAGCCCCACGAGCGTGCAACGTTTGCCCTTTCCCTCAGCTGCTCTCTCGCAGTGATCTCAGCCTTCACTTGTAGGATGTTTAGCATCCTGCTGTCTATGCACACGATTATTGTCCCTTTACAGATCGCAGTGGAAGAGCTATGCTTTCAAAGCGCTGTGGCTTTTGAGACCTCCACCATCTGGAAGGTGGAGCCAGCATGGACCCCCCTTCCCGGAGGTCAGTGACAGTAGCTGGTCCGGGAATCCCTCTTGGAGAACCTTAGTCCCAGGCTAATGCGCTCCAGGGTGGCCCGGTGAGAATGCAGGTGAGCTGGCTGGGAAGGGCTCAGGTGTCGATGTCGCTCCTGGCCGGCAGGAAGGACACACGACAAAGTCTGGCAGTGGACAACCTTTTCTTTTATTTTTCTTCTCCATACAGCCTGCCCTGGGATCGCTCCCAGCCGAAGCCTCCTTTGGTCCGCTCCCCGCGGCTCCTTCTGGGCTTCTACTTCCGGGCTTCTCCTTCCCCCCCAGGGGTGGCACCAGTATATATACGGATACAGTGTCCAATCATGTTAAAGTGAGCAAGGCAAGCTGATTGGCTAACATCATCAGTTGCCAGGCAGACTATATTGTTGAGCGGGTTGCTTACGCGGTAAGCAGGAAACTAACGTGCTCGATGGGAGGGGTAATCTACCTCAGGCTTTACTCTTTACTACAGGCCTCACGTCCGCCAAGTGAGGCGACCGGGCTCGGGGCTGCGGCTCCCAACATCTCCCCCTTTTTTATTTTTTATGAATGTGCGCATCGTAGCCCTTCCTGGACTGGGTGCAGAGGCTTATGCCCTATGCGTAGGCCCACCGTAGGTCCTTGGCTTAGACCCTGGTCGGCCGTCCCATGGTCTGCCAAGGCCCTGAGGCCCTCGTCCTTTTTCTAGGGCCAGGCACAAACTGGACGGAACCTGGATGCACACAAGCTTGCACTCATTTCCTCTCCGTAAAGAAATCCCCTCGGAGAGAAATTTAGACCTGGGCAGCATCTAACAGTCCAGCGGCTTACGTGCAGGATGGGGTAGGGCC